TATGTCTGATATGGCTCATGTAAAACTTCTTAGCTTTAGACATATATGACAGACATGGCGATTAACGTGTTAAACACATTGTATATACATACATGAAAAAACGATTTGAAATGGGTTTCTAAGCTTAGCACAGAGAACGATAAAATATATACAAACCAAGAAAAATAAACAAGTACAGTTCTAGGCTAAAAATGCAACGCGAAGATATACTGGCTGTTTCCTAACAAACAAAATTAAATATCAACAAGCCAGAATTTTTTCGACGCCCCTAATTCAAGACGTTACGTTCCAGTTTTCATACAAAATGCTACTAAGTACTGTTAAAATGCCATGTATTTGCTGTGCTATCAGGCGTTTTACACGTAAAATGCATTCTAGATATTATAAATTGTGATTGAAACGAATTGTGGAAAGATGCCTGCAAATTCTAACTAAATTGACTATGGCACTAGAAGAAAAAAACTTCCCTTTACGTTTTATGGTTTCTTCCTACTACTACGATTTCTCAAAGTAGAGTGCAATATAGAAAACCACTTATCTTATTATCACTATATATCATCATTCATTAAGAGCCGCCTTTTCAAAAAATAAAGATGATTTCAATAATATAATGTCAAAGACACAGGTCTTGTTAAAACTATACGGGCCCACATACATACATACATATTGAAATACATTTTCACTTATGTATAAGTTCTTTTTTTGAAATTTATGATACAAGAGTTCAAATGGAACCATTGAAGCATGGACATAAAAAAGGTTAATGATCTACTGATTTGCAATATGTTCTAGACATGCAGACTTATAAAAAATAGATGAAAATACATATTATTTTAAAGAACTAAATAGTCATCAATAATATGATATCATACCTACACTTACACCAGTTTTTTCAGATGTACTTTATACTAATATAATATATAACTATTGACATATGTCAGAGTCTAATAATCGGTCATAACATCAATGCAAAACATAAATTTCTTTAATTATTTATTCTAAAATCCATACGTTTTAGGCTATGGTCCTAGCCTTCATTCAGATGAACGAGGAAATAAATGGCCCAAATTTGTTGTACGAATCCAAAATCTGTGGTCTAGACAGTATTTCCAAATTTCTTGTTGAAATAGTAAGAGATTTGCTTTTTAACCCCTTAACTTAAAATGACGAGCAGAGCCCGCGAGCGATTGTTAGGCCAAATGTAAATATTACGGGCATAGCTCGCGTACGATAGTCGGGCCAGAAGCAAATACTACGCATTACGGACATGGCCCGGGACGGTAATCGTAACTATTGCAAAATATTTACTTATACGAAACTATAAAACACAAAATTATTTTTATTTTTGTGATAAACTGTGCACTGTGTGGAAAAATAGTCACAAAAGCTGCGCCAGCTCGAACAACTTTGGCCCAACATTGTCGAATCTAAATCGTAAGTTAAGAAGTTAATGTTTGTTAATACAAAATATAGTTTTACAGGGTAAAAGAAGGGTCAAACGTTGCTTCTGTGGTATTTTTGAGAATTTCTTGTCGTTTATCTCTCTCGATAACTGTAATTGCTTTTCACTGGAGCAATAATGCTTGTTGATACTTACAGAATTATAACTATAGATACGATGTTCACTTTCTTACGCGCCTGGTGCATCTCTGGAAACAGCGCTGTTTCCCAAGAAGCACCAGACCCGCTTAGTGAGAAAGCGAACGTCGTATATATAGTTATAATTCTGGCACTATTACAAAGCGCGAGGTAAAACAATTCGCATTGCAGTTGGATTTGATAACGGTGTCGTGAGAGGTAAACACGCATGAATTTTCGTATTTCGAAAATAAAAAACTTGACGGGAAACCAAAATTGAAGGCTATTTTTCTTTTGAACTATTAATTAACTAATTAAAATTTAATAACATTTAATAATAGTATTTAATGTATTTTATTATTTTGATTGTACTAAGAAATTAGCATAATTAATAAGCTTTTAAAAAAGGAAAGAAATTAGATTAAAATATTAATTTATTATTTCTCAAATATAGTATATTAAAATTACTAAAATATAATTTTAAACATTAAAAGAAGGGTCAACCTTTCGATCATCTTTGAATATGATTTAGCTTTACGCTGTGATGACTTTATTGGTTTCCAAGAAGCTCCAGACCCGTCTACACCAAAACCGAACATCGTATATATAGTTCAAATTCCAGCAGTACTAACCAGCGCGAGGTAAAGCAAGTGAATATGTACAAATTTATTTTTTTATGCAAAATTGTTGACTCACATTTTATTATTCTATAAGAATGCATCTTTTTTAATTTTGAAGGGAAAAAATATACTAGACGAATAAACCTTATCTGTTCAAATGCAATATTAAAATCTAAAATTTATGTCTAAAATATATGTTTTATATATATCAGAGATTCGCTTTTTACTATCCGTTAATCCAAATATAATTTTAAAGGGCAAAAGGAGGGTCACTTTGCTTCTGTGGTATTTTTGAGAACTCCTTCTCATTTATCGACACCTCGACTTTTTGACATTGACACTTTTCTTCCCCAAGAAGCACCAGACCCACTTAATACGAAAGCGAACCTCATATATATAGTTATAATTCTGGCAGTATTGACAAGCGCGAGGTAAAACAATTCGCTATGCAGTTGGATTGGATAAGTCATGAGAGGTGAACACGCATGAATTTACGTATTTCGAAAATAAAGTCTCTAACATTTTTAATTAACTTAAGATAAGAAAATTTTTTCTTTTAAATCTTTAATTAACTAATTAGAATTTAATAACATTTAATAATAGTATTTAATTATTTTATTATTTCGATTGTGCAAAGAAATTATCATAATCAGTATAATTAATAATTAAAATTAATAAAATATAATTTTTAACATCAAAAGAAGGGTCAACCTTGCTTCTGTGGTATTTTTGAGAACGAATTCTCGTTTATCGATCTTTCGATCATCTTTGAATATGATTTTAGCTTAACGCTGTGATGAGTTTATTGGTTTCCCAAGAAGCGCCAGACCCATTCAAACCAAAACCGAACATCGTATATATAGTTCAAATTCTAGCAGTACTAACCAGCGAGAGGTAAAGCAATTGTTGCAATTGGATTTGATAAGGGGGTTAAGAATGGTGAATATGTATGAATTTATATATTTCGAAAAAAAGGTCTCTAACATTTGTTAATTAACTTTATGGCAAACCAAAAGAAATGGGCATTTTTCTTTTAAACTTTTCATTTACTGATTATAATTTAATAACGTTTTTAATGTATTTTTATTGAAAAATAAATTCAGTTTTTTTAGGTGTTTATACTAATATTAATACTAATTTGTACAAATATGTTACAAATTGATAGTGCTATTATTCACGATGCCACAAAAACTTAATATTTTAGAACTATAGCCGAAACGTATGAATTATATAATTAGAATATTTATTTAATGAAATTCACGTTTTCTTTTATTGGTTTTATGCCTGATTATTAGACTCTTTTAATACATATCTCAACATCAAATTCAGAACTACACAAAAAATATATATTTATTAACTTAGGGCATAACCGTGGGGCAAGTTATAGTAATCGCAAAAAATCGAAAATGAAAATTTTTATATATCTTTACGTTTCAAAACCTTCTGAACATTTTGGCATACCTTAGAAAAAATGGATGTATGTGTGTGTGTGTGTGTATGTGTGCGCGTGTGTGTGTGTGTGCGGATACAAATTTTTGTCGACGATTTCGGGAACACCGATCAACCGATTTAAATAATTCAAAAAACTTTCGATTCATATTGATAAGGAGACGTGCTGATTAGTTTTTGGCGAAGGCAGGTCTAGCCGTTCCGAAGATATGGGGCAAAAAGTGCCAAAAACGATAACTCAGTTTTTAAGGGAACGGAGCGTCCGATTTTAATAATTCAAAAAACAGTTTACTTGTATTGACAAGATGAAGAACTGATCAAATTTTCATGAAGTAGGTCTAGCGGTTTCGGAGATCTAGTAAAAAAAGTAAAGAAAATGCCATTTGGCGGTCAAAAATGATCATTAGACATATGCACATCAAATTATCAGATATTTTATAGAGATTTTAACAATAAGTATAAATTTTGTTTACATTTCTATGGATTCATTGTTTATCCGTTAGACGGCGACGCGTCGCTTACGCGCTTCGATATGCAGTTAAAGCAGTACGATTGCTTTGAAAAAAAGTTCAGAATTTCCAAAATATTTCAAAATAAATTTTTCTTCAAAAAGTCTTTCTTTTTTCAAAAAAAAGTAAATTTTTGTCAAAAATTTATAGTTTCTCAAAAATTTAATTTTTTCAGAGTAATTTTTTTCCAAAAATGTTAATCTTTTTAAAAAAAAATTTGGTAAGGGAAGTTCCAGCAATTTGCCTCAACTAGTTTCAATTATAATTTCAATATATAAATTTTGACCATCGCGGTACATTCTCCAACCTATCAAAAATGTTTATACTGTTATAGCGAAATAGTTCTAGAAACTCGTTATCACAAGTCGAGAGACATATCGGAGAAGGTCTCGACAGGTCCCTTTTTCGAATTTCGACAATGAGGGCACTCCGCCTCGCTGACCACACCACTGCCCTGAGCCAATCACCGTTCAATGGCATCCTACGTCACACCGGACGATCAGATGTTCCGTCAACATTGCGGCATGCGGCATGTGTTGCCTTACCTCGGCTGTTTGGTCGTGCCAGCACAACGATGCTCGTTGCGATCAGTTCGCGGCTTGCTGTCCGAATGATCGCGCGCCTCTGGCACTCGTCTCCTATTCAACGGTTCGTAGAATTAAACGCAACGCGCGCTGCCAGTGTTTGTAAATTGATAAGGAAAACGGCATATATATAATAGCGACCTCGCCAAACTAAACTCGTCAGTACATGTCCGAACTTTAAAGCGAAACGACCATTACAGTTTTTATTTACACACTCCCTTATCGTTGATCTAATCTGATTGCAATTTTTAAGTGCTTGATAATACTGTGAAACATTTTTTTTATTTATTGATAATTACTTAAATATTTTATTAACGACTAGTGTAACAGTTGCACGATGAATTTGTCTTTTGCGGGATGCGGCTTCCTGGGTATTTACCATGTTGGTGTCGCTGTGTGTTTCCGCAAATATGCTCCTCATCTTCTGCTGGACAAGATCAGTGGAGCATCGGCTGGTGCCATCGCGGCGTGCTGTCTCCTATGCGATATGCCATTGGGTTCGTGAAATTTAATTTTCATATTTCTAGTAGAATTATTTGGAAGTGTCTTGAGATAACATTGTACTATTTTTAAATTAACCCTCCGTCGGTCGGATATTTTTTCACCTTCGAACGATCGGAAAGGTCTGGCTGGACCACCATTCATTTTACATGCATTTATATGGGATAAATGAGTTTTTGGTGTCTTATATATTAACGACTAATAGTAGTAAATATTTATAGTTTTGATTTTTACTTTTTCTTACCGTCTTTTGCATGTGTTGAGCTTGCTTATAATAAAAATAATACATATTATATTACATAAAAAAATCAAGGAATATAAAAAAATCGTTGCTATTTTTAATTTTTCTTTTTTATATCAATGAAAAACAATATTTATTCTTTTTCGGCGCCTTTGAAATGAATGTGAAATTCAAATGAAAACGAAATGAGGTGATTCGCCTTTGAAATGAGCTGTAAAACTCAAAGTGAAAATATAATTTCACTACAGGTTAGCCAAAAAAAATTTCGAACGCAATACGGGTAGAAAAATTGTTGATGCATTGCATTACTCATCCGATTTTCAGTGTTTGCGATTACCAATAAGTTTGGTAGGATTTCAAGGAACTCTCGTCATGAAAATACTAACATTCATGTTACAACACATAGCAAAGAATATATACAACGCAGTTTGAATAGAAAATACCATGAATAAAGACAAAATACTGGTTTACATATATCAAAAAACGTATATTTCATACAAAATATATGGGTGGTCTAGACAGACCTTTCCGACCGTTCGAAGTATACAAAAGTTAATATCCTTATAATTATCCTTCTGTACATTTTTTTTTCGTCCTGATTTTTTCATTGATCGACAGCTAATGAAATTTTAGGATAAGTCAAGAAATTTCAAGTCGATAGGATTACTAGAAGTATTTTTTATTTTTAATTGAAGTCGAAAAAAGTCTGGCCAGACCACGCCGACCGACGGAGGGTTAAGCATTATACTTCAAATTAAATTTCAACAAGAACACAATCACTTTGCTCAATTCTAGGAATTTAATCTAAAGTTTACATTCACAAATCCATGAACAATATTATTTATTATCATAGAAATTCCTAACTTAAAAACTCGATTTCTAAACATGTGCGTATGTGTTTATGCTGTGCAGATGTACCCATGAACGCAGGGTTCCTCACTTCTATTCGTACAATAATTTATTGCTCTTTAGAGGTATTAGTAGAACTTCCTAGCATTTTGAATAGTGTCAAACACACTCCATTATTGTATGTGTGCTTGAGAATTTAAATTTAGTGTTACTGTCCATCGCGTAATATTGTAATCGACCAGAAGGTTATTGCAGAATAAATAGTAAACATGCCTGACCTTATATCATTCTGTTCTAATCAATGAACGGAATTTAAGATACACGGTGAACGACCATTACAATTTTACAAGCGCAAAATGTTTTTAGTTTACATTAATTGCCTTTTCTATCCTTCGAAAACCCAAATCGCCTAAAATTTCCATTAATAACCTGTTCATGAGAATTTAGTGTTGTTTTTCGTATACATTTATTATTTTAAATTCGGCTTACAAGCAGTTTGTTTAAAATTCTGAACTAAGGACCCGAACAGGTAGAAAATCGTATGATCTGACTTCAAAACTAAAATTCACAGGTATGAAACCTATATTATACCTGAAACGATGATTCTCCTGTGTTATAAAAATATGACCCATTGTTGTGTGATATTTTGTTCTGTCGAACCCATTGAACTTTTAATTACTAACTTAGTAATAAATTTTACCTGTAAATGAGAATTTTAAATTTTGGTTCTCGATATCTATTTGTTTTAAATTCGGCTTACATGTGAATTGTTTAAAATTCTGAACTAATGGCTAGAACAGGTAGAAAATCGTACGATGTGACTTCTCACTATACAAAACTAAAATTCACAGGTATGAAACCTATATGGTACCTGAAACGATTACTCTCCCGAGTTATAAAATTATGAGCAATTGTTGTGAGATAATTTTTTAAAACTTAATTAACCAATAAATTTTACCTGAGGAATTTAAAATTTTGTTCCCAATATACATTTAGTGTTTTAGGCAGATTTTCTAAAATTCTGAACTAAAGACCCTAAACAGGTAAAAAATCGTATGATCTGACTTCTTCTCACTGTTCAGAACTTAAATTCACAGGTATGAAACCTAACTGGTCTTTAAACGATGTTTCTCCCACGTTATTAAAATATGATCCATTAGACCTTTAGGTCTGCAAAAGTTATTGATTTTTTAATTAATTAATTAATTAATAGCAATTGTAAATAGTACAATTTTTATAAGCTATTTAGCCAATTATAAAAAAAACACACACACAACACACATATTTGCACATGTTGGCCAATTCATAATGTACAAATATCAGACAAAATATAGCCAAATATAGGGTACTTGGGCAGTGGTATTTGAGCAATTTAACCTTATATATTATAGGTATTTTTTTGTTTCAATTAATTTAGTGCGTTGATACTCATTAATAGTTCATTAACATCAAAAAACTTGTTTCAACATAAGTTTTCGTTCATCATTTACATACGAGTATATAGGATTACAAACAATTTTTGGTTCTCCTATTTTTTTTTATTAAAAAACAAAAATTTGGTCCATAGAGGGTTAAGTAATCACTCCAATAAAAGATTTACAAATAGTAAAATAAAATAAAATAGATACCATTTAAATTGAATCTGTTGGGGGCAATTTCTTTTGAAGCGCCTCAATAATTAAGGAGGGAAGATAAATAATTCATTAGGATGATCTTCAAGCTTCAAGAGATGCTTATGGCATCTGTCCTTTATAGCTTCTTTTACAAATTGAATTATTAAACTAATAATTCCAAATTGATGAAAAATTATATGTCAATTCCAATTTTTACTAGGTGTTAGTGCGATATCTTTATTATTTTTTGAGTTCTCCTCGGATATTGCGTAACAATCATATTTTGCCCGGATGTGGTATGGTAAATGCGACGGTTCTAAATCTGCTTGCACAAAAACAAAACGCACTATTACTATGATTTTTAAATAGGCTAAACATATGATTCATACATGTATAATGTCGATCATTGTGCATTTCAAGATCATAAGCAGAATCTGAATATGGGTTAGCGCGAATGATAAAATAAAGTTGACAGTGATGTGTGATAAAAAATATAGTTCTTCATTTATTACTCACGCAGAACAACACTGTTAGATTGATATTGTTTGTATAATGAATCATCATATGTAGATAAGTAATAAATTTAAATATGACACAATGTCGTTTGCGAATAGAACGCTGAGGTTAGTACAAATATTATTTTAATATTTTTGAGTTATATATTAGAACTATTGAGTTGTTTTTTCAACATGCCACTAGTATACAATGTCCCTTTACGGCTGACAACTGTAAATTCCACAAATTTAACAAATGTCCTTAACTGGAAAGTAGTAAATAAAATAGTGAATAAAAAAGATATCTGCGCCTATTCCATTATGGAAAATCACCAAATTTTTGGTAAGACTTAGAATGTCTAAATTAGTGATGTGCCGACTCGAAAATTCCCGATTCGAATGATTCGAATCAGAAAAAAACCTGATTCGAATCATGATTCGAATCAACTCGAATCAAGTATATATATGGACAAAAAAAATCATGGATGTATTAATTTAGTAAAAGTGATCCAAATTTATAATCAAAATTGTCAGTTTAACCAATATAACCAATATAACCAACAAAGTAGAAATTGTAAACATAAATCACTATCAAAAGTATATTCTGAAAATTATTAAAAATGATGTAATTCTGAGGACGGCTAAAACATATCTTCAAATTAATTTACAATAATAGATTACCAAACAATTGTGCATCACTAAAGCATATAAAATAATATTTGGAATCATGGGTCGATTGTTTATTTTACTATGTAATCAGTAAAGGATGGCATCTAAACTGAGAGCTGAAAGTTAATTTCATTAATGTGAATTTGCCATTACTTACATAATCAGAAGTTAACATATTATTTACTGACTTTCTGGTGTTTAGTAATTGTTTCAAAAGAGAATTATATTGAAAGATTCCCGAAACTCGTTTCATAATTTCGAGTGGTTTATTCTAATAACATTTAAAATCTAAAACACTTAATTATTATCAAAATTGGGTATTGATATTTCACGAATAAAATCGCTCTCAGCGCTCCGTAAAATAAATAAACACGCAAGAACGACGACGCATTGTATCGCCCATACGGTTAACTCATATCGCTCGAACGGCTTGAAGTCGGGATGATTCGAATCAGAATTGAAGTCGGAATAACTCGTAACGCCGCTTGATTCGGTTTGGCTCATGAAGTCGGAACAACTCATAACGCCGCTTGATTCGGTTTGGCTCATGAAGTCGGAACAACTCATATCGCCGCTTGATTCGAGTTGGCTCATATGAAGTCGGAACAACTCATATCACCGCTTGATTCGGTTTGAGTCATGAAGTCGAAATAACTCATATCGCCGCTTGATTCGGTTTGAGTCATATGAAGTCGGATGATATAGTTAGTCGATGAATGCGGTTAAAGTCACACAAAGACGATTGGAGTTAGCTGATACATTTAAGCATATTAAAGTCGGGTGGCTCGCATGATTTAATTCATTATTTATTTTTTATATTTATGATATTTATTTTTTATATTATTATAATATTGAATTAAATTAAAACATTTTTTTATATTTATATTTATGAAAAATTTTATATTTATGAAAAATTTGTGTTAATACATATTTTATCACAGTAAATATTTCGCGGCTTGATGCGAGTTGATTCGAATCAAGTAAAATCTGATTCGAATCAAGTCGTTAAAGGCTTGATTCGAATGATTCGAATCACTTGATTCGACTTGGCACATCACTAGTCTAAATCAAATGCCAAACCAGTGATTGCACATCCGGATTGATGGTATTTTTTATAAATGCAAAAGTCT